TATATATATAACATTACATATTTACAGATTTATTTTAAAAAGTTACAAGTACCTTAAAAAACAACAAAAACACAGATGGGAAATTAAAATGTCAACAACATTACTCTGAATAAATGAAAAATTAAATTTAAATATTAAATAATAAATAAACAAATAAATAATACAAATAATTGATAATAGACTATATAACATTTTAAATAAATAAAGTATTATATAAAGTTGCCTCATTAAGTCAATACATTCTATGAAATGATTTTTTTTAAGTAAAGGAACAGGTAACAAAAAACTTTAACATACAGAGGGGGAAATAAAAACTGAACCGCTTACTTCAAATAAATTAAAAATTAATGTGACATTTTATTTAAATAATACATTTTTGATAATACATTGAGTATTTATGAAAGTATTAATTTTAAAAAGTTAAACAAAGTAATAAAAAAGAAAAACTCTTTGATTCCCAGCTGTTTAAACTATCCAACTGTGAGCTCTATTTATTATAATTTATTCTCTTCCTTAAAACTGCATGCATATTCAGTGTTTCTTATTCATTAACTAGACTGTGGCGGCCCACAGTCTAATCTGTCCCGCCACAGTTTCATAATAAACCGAAGATATATTTATACTTATAACATAAAAGTTCTTTAACGTTGTGTTTCACGCCATTGCTTTGGCAAGTATCGGTCAAACGAATTAAAATCGAAAGCGTAATATGACTTATCAAGTCTGTTTGCGCTGCTTGTTTCAAAGTGAAGCGCGCACATTGCGCAGCGCACGCGGTCGGCTCGTGATCCAGTGTTTTCAGCGTCTCAGAGCGGCTCCGTTCACAGTGAATGCAGTGAACTCCGTTATTGAACGTGCTGTGAGTTTAGCACGTTTGGGAACACAACGGCCACCAGTTATACATAATTTGCACATTTGCATAATTTTCAACATTTTAATGGGCAAATGGTTACAGTATTTCATTAAATTAGTAATGTTTGTAAACCTGTTTTCACAGAAGCTGGAGTTTTCCGCCAAAATAAAAGTTCAACTGAAGTTTCCGCCAAAATAAAAGCTCAAGGGTTTATCTCTTGCAAGCATGGCCTAACATTAACAGACGCGCACAGAGAAAATACTGTACAGGTACAGCAAGCTCACTGTTCAGAAGAAAAATATAAATATTGGGGTTGGGGTTTATATGAATGTATTTCTGAAGGGAACTGACTTCACAAAAGTTTCGATGGCATTTTTTCCCCTCTTATCACTGCTGATCCATAAGCGCCACCTGCTGTCAGAGAGTGAATTTGCGTTCTCATTCAGCCTGTCTGTTTTTGTTTCATGCAGGTTTTATCTTTGTA